GGCTCCTATCTCAGCCTCCCGAATAGCTGGGACTACAGGCGCCCGTCACCAAGCCTGGCTAATTTTTTGTATTTTTAGTAGAGACAGGGTTTCACCGTGTTAGCCAGGATGGTCTTGATCTCCTGACCTTGCGATCTGCCCGCATCAGCCTCCCAAAGTGCTGGGATTACAGGTGTGAGCCACCGTGCCTGGCCACGCCCTCACTTTTTAATTCTGCCATTTCTCATGTGTTAGCTTGAGTCCTTCCCCTCTGAAGTATTAAGTTGTATAATAAGGAGAACAAGACTCATGATTCCTTTGCTTCTTCCTGCTGTGCGGATCGACTGACAGCCGCAGGCCCTGTGGGAGGTGCTGGTAGACGCCTTCCCTCAGCTCATGGTGCTGTTGTGTGATGTGTGACCTGGAGTCACAGCCTTTCCAGTCCTACCTTTCCTCCGGAAACAGGACAGCATTTGGAGGGAGATGGGATGAGTAAGGGAGGGACAGAGGGTGTTTGCACAGCCCTGGCAAGGAGGGCCAGTGGGGGAGGCTAGGCTGGCACAGGGCTGGCACACAGCAGGCTCTAGGAGTTTGTCTCCTTCCTGCTCTTCCATGGGGGATGAGACCCTGGCCTGTGTATGGCAGAAAGGACACTGCCAAGGACCCCGTGCCTGTGTCCGGACCCAGCTGCTCTTTGCGGTAGGCGTCCTAGGCCGGGGGTCTCCAGGGGCTCTGTACATAGGCTGTTTCCTCCTGGCCACCGGGCCTGTAGCTGCGCTGGGAGGGCCTCCGTGGGGCCTGGGCTGTGGGTGGCGGGGACCGGGAGCCATTCTACCTGCCTACGTTTCTGTCCACTTGTCTGTTTACAAAGGAAAAACGAGAAGGTGACATTGGAGAAAGCAAAACCTTTAATTTGAGGTTTTAAAAATTAAACACGAGCCACCATATAAACAGTCTCACGTCTTGGTGCCTCACCAAATGTCCCCAAATTTTTTCCCGTTTTTATGACTTTTGAAACAAAAACCTAGACCACACTAAGCTTTAACTGTTGGGTTCTTTGTTGGCAGAATTTTTCCCTAGATTGGTGTAAACAGCCAGACGTGGGCCTTCCCAAACCCGACCTGGTCCTGTTCCTCCAGTTACAGTTGGCAGATGCTGCCAAGCGGGGAGCGTATGGCCATGAGCGCTACGAGAACAGGGCTTTCCAGGAGCGGGCCCTCCGGTGTTTCTACCAGCTCATGAGAGACACGACTTTGAACTGGAAGGTGAGAATCCCAGAACTGCACAGTAGGAACCGTCGAGCAGTGGCTCAGGATTACACCCTGTGGTGACTGGCACAGGCGCACCAGCAGAGCTGCTGCCGTTCTGTCTGGTCTTCCCAGATGCGGAGCCCCAGGAGTAGTCGTTCAGGGGTTCTCAGTGCCAGCAAATTCTTTTTTTTTGAGACAGAGTCTTGCTCTGTCGCCCAGGCTGGGGTGCAGTGGCGCCATCTCGGCTCACTGCAACCTCCACTTCCTGGGTTCAGGTGATTCTCCTGCCTCAGCCTCCCGAGTAGCTGGGATTACAGGCACCTGTCATCATGCCTGGCTAACTTTTTTTGCATTTTTGTAGAGACAGGGTTTCTCCACGTTGGTCAGGCTGGTCTCCAACTCCTGACCTCAGGCGATCTGTACGTCTCGGCCTCCCAAAGTACTGGGTTTATAGGTGGGAACCACTGCACCCGGCCAGTGCCAGCAAATTCTAATCCGGTGAGTTTTGCTAAATGTTGACATTTGGCGCTTTGTCTGGTGGGTCAGGTGAGAATCTGCGCAATCCTCCACAGCCTCAGCCCCTCTTCAGACATGAGCGCCAGGCTGTTCCTGCCACTGTGTCCTCTGGTGCGGGCCTCCCGCTGGGCGTGGGCGCTGCGGCCACACCTGGCTGAGTTCAGGAGGGTGCCGTGTGCTGGCTTTCCCTTCAGCCCTGCCTCCTTCAGTCTCAGCAGTCCCAGGTCTGGCTCTACTCTGTCTACTCCCAGGACGCTGGACTCTCCCCTCCCAGTGGACACGCAGGCACGCCTCTGCTCCTCCCAACCGCAGCCCCCACCTCTCCCCCAGGCTCCAGTCGCCTGTGCCCACCACTGCCCACGTGGCCTCTTTCCAGACAGCGGCCACAGCTTCTGGCACGTCCGGCGCCAGCACTGTCGTTGTGGCCACGGCCCACAGAGCTTCTGTCCCTTGAGCTCCACACAGCAGTGCTCGAGGGCCTGCCCCAGCCTGACCGGCTGTGCCTGCAGATGATGCTGGTCACAGCTTTTCGTTTCCCGGAACACAGGCGGGATAGCAGCACCCTTTTCTGGCCGTGCGGCATTCCCTCTGGCAGTCAGCTGCCCGGAGAGGCTCATCTTGGGTGGTTCTGGGCGACAGCTGTGTGGCTGCACAGTGGCCGGTGAGTGGCATCTGGGAAGGTGGCTTTTGTGCAGGGAGTCACTCTCCTTCCATCACAGTCACACCTCATGAAATGGTTAGACTCTTCCGAGTGCCTTCTACGCTTCTGGCAGATTTTCTAGAATTTGCTGTTGAGGTTGAGGTTCAGAGAGGTGTGGGGTATCCCGGAAATCTCTCAAGAAGCTTGAGAAGGGTCCTGCGCCACCTGACAGCAGAAGCCGGGATGCCGTTGAGACTCCAGTGCTTCTGAGTTCCTCTCACTGCTTTCCTTCTGGTGGAGAGAAGGCCGTCCCGCGTGCTCATGCCCTCCCCACGTTCCTCGCACCATTCACGCCATTGTGCGGCACAGCTGTTAGAACCAAATTCATCTTCCCCTCAGGGACGGGTCAGGCCCAGTGTTGCATCGGTCCTGTCTGGCTGCTGTGGAACTTCCTTACGTTCTAGGCAGTGCCCAGGAGCATGGGCAGGGCAGGGTCTGCCCTCTGTGCTTCCCACTCACTGCTTGCGAGCTGGAGGGACAGTCGCCTCGACCTGGTGGGCTGGGTGGGCCTGGCTGTGCTGAGGGCTATGCCTCACTCCTGCAAGTGGGCACTCATCGGGGTTGGGGTCACAAGGAGGCTCAGGTCGGCTGAGAGCAGGAGTGGGCAGTTGGCACGTCATGTTTCTCCTGCATCAGGGCTGTGGCAGGAATGCCGGGTGGCTTTGTACCGTGGGCACTATCAAGGTTGAGGTTCAGAGAGGTGTGGGGTATCCCGGAGGTCACCACACTGCCAGGAGGTTCAGGTTGGCCTTCCAGAGCCTGGCCTGTGTGAAAGCCGCACGAGCACAGAGGACAGAATGAAACATGGTGTTGTTTTGAGACAGGGTCTTACTGCGTCACCCAGACTGGAGTACAGTGGTGCCAATTTTTTTGCAGAGGTTGGGTGTCCCTGTGTAGCCCAGGCTGGTCTTGAACTCCTGGGTACAAGCAGTCCTCCCTCGTGGGCCTCCCAAAGTGCTGGGATTACAGGTGTGGGCTCCCGTGCCCAGCCTGGAACGTGCTGATGAGCCTCTTTCTCCCGAAACCCCGGTGGGAACAGATGGTGGATGCTTCCAAAAGCATTGAAGCTGTCCACGAGGACATCTGTGCGCTCTCTGAGGACGCCATCCGCACTGCCACAGAGAAGCCACTGGGGGAGCTGTGGAAGTGACCCGAGGCTGCCCACTGGAGACGCCTCTCCCTGTAGTCCCTCGAGAGGTGGGAGACCCGCGGAAGGCCCCGTCTCCAGCGGTATCCAGATCCCACGACTTCAGGAGCTCTTTCCCGGCAGCAGAGATCTGCAGGCTGCCTCTTCTGCCCCGGGCGGGGGTGTGGTGGGGACCTTGGCAGTATAGACATGAGCAGAGTGATGGAGCAGTCTCCTGCCCTCTCGCTGCCATCAGTGTCCTGATGGTACTCTGTTGTTTTTTTTACTGAAGTTCAGTGATAACTCTGAGTAGTTTCATTGTGATCACTGTAAACGGTAATCAGTTGGAATTCTCCTAAATGTCTTCTAGACACTAGTAAAAATTGACCTGAAAATTGTTTGTGGAACGCTTCACTTTTCTTAGACTGAGGAGAGAGCTGGCTTTGAATGGGAGAGAAGCGCCTTCATTGGGCCCAGTAGGGCCTTTCTGGACCTTAGTTCCTGCCTAGTTGAGGGAGTCCCACTGTGGGTCTGAACGGTTGCAGCCATGCCCTGGGCTCCAGCCAGGCTACATCCGAGTGTCATCACAGCTTACATCCTGAACTCACCGAAGTTAACTCTGCTATTTTCATTGCAACCCTGGAGCTTAACTTTTCATCCTATCCCTTTTTACTTTTTTTGGAAACAGGGTCTCACTGTCACCCAGGCTGGAGTGCAGTGGCACGATCGTGGCTCACTGCAGCCTTCTGCAGACCTGCTGGGCTCAGGTGATCCTCCCACTTCAGCCTCCTGAGTAGGTAGGCCTACAGGCCTTCACCATGCCTGGCTAATTTTTTTATTTTTTGTAGACAGGATTTTGCTATGTTGCCAGCCAGGCTCATCTCAAACTCCTGGGCTCAAGTGATCCACCTGCCTCGGCCTCCCAAAGTGCTGGGAGTACAGGCATGAGCCACCGTGCCTGGCCCATTGCATTCCCTTTTAAGTGACACTTGGATGATTTGACACTCCTGGTAGAATCTGTCCCACAGAGCACTTTTTGGGTAGAGAGCAGCATACAGTGTGCTGGAGTGGAAGGCAGGCAGGGTCCCCCATCTGTGGGGGCAGCAGCTGTGGGTCTCAGTACCCTTTTGTGGCCAAGAGACAAATCCAGGCAAAACAAAAGGATTTCACTTGGGTAAGCATTGCCAGGGGCTGTGGGATGGGCCTGGGTGAGGAACCTTCAGATGGAAGACCTTTCTGGACTATCCAGGTGGGCCCAGTGTCATCACAGGGGCCTTTTTTTGTTGTCTTAAGACGAGGTCTGGCTCTGTCGCCCAGGCTGGAGTGCAGTGGTGCAGCCTTGACTCACTAGCCTCTCTTTCCTGGGCTCAAGTGATCCTCCCCCCTTAGCCTCCCAAAGTGCTGGGATTACAGGCTGGTGCCACCATGCCTGGCCCATCACAGGGGTCCGCCTAACAGGGAGGCAGGCCGTTCGAGTCAGGAAGTGAGATGCCAGCAACAGAAGCTGGAGAGATGCCATGTTGCTGGCTGTGAGGTTGGAAGAAAGCGCCATGAGCCAAGCAGTTTCTGGCGTCCAGGAGCTAGAAAAGACACAGCAATGTTCTCCCCTAGAGGAGCAGCCCTGCCCACAGCACGAGGTGGCTGTCTGCCCTCCAGGTCTGGAAGAGGCTGTGCTGTTTCAGGCACTGAATGTGGTCATCTTCTAGGGCAGCCACAGGAAGCGAGTAAGAGCATCTGAGAGGCTGCAAGTCCTCAGCCAGCTCACCAGGGCCCCAGCAGTGCCCCCTCCTGTCTGGCTTTGGGCCCTTCGCACCTATACCAGGACTGCCCACAGGGACGCATTGGCCAGAGGGAGCGATGTCCTCACTAAGCCCCCTGCTGTGCCCCAGACATGGCCCTCCCACAGGCCAGGCCAGTCACTACTTGCTTGGGGAAGGCTTTGCTGTGATTCAAATTGAGCCAAACCTACAACTCAGGGCACTTTCTGCAACTTCCTCCTGTTGAAGAATGGGAACCATTTTACTTTCCTAAAATCCTAGTTTCCTTGCACTTTTTCCTTCTAGGGTTGTATGAGAGGGCGGATGTCATGGCTCACAGCCAGCCAGGCTACAGGCAGGACAGGCCGCCTGCCAGGGCTGGGGACGTACCTGCTCAGGCTCCCACAGCCCACCACGCAGGCAGCCACATCCTTTACGTGATGCTATGGGCTGAAACATTCACTTGGTTTTTTTCTGGAAATCACAATTATAACTTGAGGAAAAAATAGACACAAGGTTTGTTTTCTACTGAAACTTATTATTTGCCATTAAGAATTGCAAACTATACTACTACGAATGAACAACATTCTCTTCATTAAGCCTTTTTCAAAACACACAAGAAAAAGCTCCCCTTTGGTCAAGGTGTTCCACACTCCCACTACAGCAGGCCCCCACAGCTCCCAGCACAGCGGTGCACCATGGACTCAGACGCAGAGCCCAAGGAATGAAGATCGCCCCAGCCTTCCCTCCTTCCCCACCCCAACTACGCCCAAGGGAGAAAGGATACGAGGAAATAAACTATGTCTTGGGGGGGGACTGGGGATGGTGTCCTCTGCTACCCAGGTGGGCCACTCACTGCAGAGCGGGCGGCGTGTGTCCTGAGGGGATCTCTGGTCCCCACACCTATACAAGCAGCAGCAGCGAGTCCTGCCAACGCCACAGTAGGTGCTCATGAGAAAGGTGCCCATGCTTGCCGTGCCCACGCTCCCCAAGCCCTCCTGGTTACATTCCCTAGTGGGGCAAAGCCACTTCCCCAGGAAGGCAGCACAGCAGCGGGGCAGAGTACACTCCGGGACCCAGGACAGCAGGTTACACAGGGTCAGGCGGTGGTGGGTTCTGGAATCAGGGCTGAGGTTCCGGAAATGCCACCAGGGGATGCCACCCTGTGATGTCTGCCCATCACACACCACAAGGCTCGAGTGGTTTTCCCCTTTTGGCCCTAAACCACCTAACACCTCAGTGACACAGGAGGGCAATTCTCAGCAAGGCAAGGACACAGGGAAGGCTCCTAGGAGAAGCACACTGTCCACCCCCGAGCCCGACTGTCACAGGTGGAGGCCCCGCCCCACCCCTCGCCACACCTGGGGAAGCCACCACAGAATGCCACAGCCCTGGAAAGGGACACTCTGAGGACAGGCACTCTAGCAGCAGCCCCAGGACAGCCAGCCGCCCTTCTGCCCAGGCTGCCCACGCCGTGTCCTCTGCACGCCATCTTCAGGTTTCCCACACACCCACTTCCTGAATACTTCTCTCCCCAAAGCAACCTTTGCCTTTGTTCCTCTGACCTCATCTCCCACTGAGGTCGCCCTTGGTAACCAGGCTGGGCAGAGGACACAGCCATGGGCGCCCCCTCGAGAGCAGCCCGGTCCTTGGGCGTGGGGCCGCAGCGTGGCTGCTGCTCCTCTCACGCCAGCCTGCACAGGTCTTCTGAGACTGACTCAGGAAGCGCCCCAGAAATCCATGTCTGTGTCTGACAACTTCAAACAGGACTTTAATTCCAAACCAACCACAGAACCGGCGCCTGGGAGCAAGTGGGACTGAGGCCCAGGCGCTAACGCGGGGCTGGCAGTGTCCAGAGAACGCTCTGGAAGCTCCTGACAGACGGCTCTGTGTGCAGATGCACAGGCCCTGACGGGCACTCTGAGCTGGGCAGTCGGACACCAAGCAGTAAGGCCTCCCGGGCAGCGCAGCCTCAGTCCACGAGCAGAGCGGGTGGCCCTCTGGGGGGAGGCAGCACGGGGCGCGGCCCTCGGCAGGCGAGCGGGCGGGATGGATGAAGTGCGGCGGCACCAGGAGCCCCAGGCTCTCACAGGTGCCACCCCCGACCCCAGGATTTTCAAAGGGACAGGATTTCAAAGTCTTCATCTTCTGAGTCGAAGAATCTTTCCAGTCGCTCTACATCAGAAGAATCTAGAAGGAACAGGACATAGCTCATCAGGCATCTCAGGTGGGCTACTTCCGTGTGAGTCAAGTGCCCTTGGCATGGGGCAGACCGAGCAGCACCTGCTCTGCAGCCCCACCCTGAGGGGCCCACAGACAGCTGTCCCCAAGCAGCTGTGAAAAGGCCCAGGGTTGTGGAGACCTGCGAATATGGGGGGAGGGAGCAGAGAAGAGGAGCAGGGCAGGGTGAGGAAGACGGGGGCGGCCGGCACTATCTCAGGCCTGAGGGGGCCTCTGTCCTGTGTCTCCCACGCTGCCCCCTGACCCTTGTGGTCATCAGGAGTGGTTCCACTGTCACTGCCTTGTAGAGCTTCTCATGGTGAGACAGGTACGAGGAGGACAAGCTCGCGGCCACACACTCGCTTCACTGCGCGAGCCCAGGCCGGATCCTTCGGCACATTAGCCATGGTCCAAGGGGTCTACGCCACCCATGGCCAGTGGTGCCCAAGTGGACGAGTCCCCCACCCAGGACTGCGTCATCACAGAGTCTGTGTGTTCTGTCTGCTCCAGAGCCGTGAGGACCCCATGGGAGCACACCCAGCTCCACAGTGCCCTGGGCAGGCAGCGCGGGTGGGTAAGGCGATGGGGGTCCCGGGTTGCTGGGCGCAGGCTTGGAGGAGAGGACGCTCCACTCTGCCCCTGGTCTCACAGGCAAACCACTGCCAAGTGCTCACAGTTGAGGCTCACACACACCTTAATAGTCAAAACCAAGGGGGCCAGGACTGGGGAAGCAAGGGCACAGACCGCACCCCCGAGGGACCGCACCCCCGAGGGACCCCACCTCCGAGGGACCCCACCTGGACTTGGCCCTGCAGCTGCAGTTCTCACCTAGGGACAGGTTCAGGACATCGGGGCAGGCCAGGTGTGAAGGCTGCTGTTCCACCAGCTCAAACATGGGCAGGGCGCCTCCGAGCAGAGACAGCTGTTAGTGAGACATGGTCATTAGGGGCAGCCTCACCCCAGTGCTTGCTGCAGCCCAGAGAAAGGGGCCAAACCTGACTGTCATTCCACTTCACTGATGAGAACAGAGGCAGCTTCCACACTAACGGCTACACGAGGACCCAATGTGGCGATCAACACACAGTCTGACCACGATGGCAGAGGGGGGTGGGCCACACGCACTCAGCCAGCGCAGCTCGGCACCCCATCACCACCCCCATCTCAACAGGAGACGGATGAGGACACTGGAAATCCCATTCTAAAGTCAACACGCAACATCCGTCCCCAGGGTTGTTAACCGTGTTGCCAGGTGGGCAATCCAGGACACCCCACCCTGTTCAGCTGCACAGCTGTGCCAGGCAGGACAAAGCTCCCCCCGCCCCGTGAGGCTGCCTGAGACCTGGACGCTGGCCTTTGGCCCCTGCACACCCCACTGCCTGTCTCCCTGGGCGGTCCAGCTCGGCTGCGGGTGGTGGGGCGGC